TGGACTGAGATTTTTGTGTATTGTGTAAATATATAGTGATTAGGTGAAAAGACCTGGTTGAGATTTTTGTATATTGTGTATATATTGTGTAAATCTGGTCGGATCGAGATTTCGGACTGAGATTTATAGCAGGTCGTGTATGGTAGCACAAAAACGGAACAAATTTTTTTTTTAAAAAAGAGATATTCTACGTCTGTTATTGCATTAACCGACGTTGTAACGTCGATCGCTTGAGCGAAACGTCGGTCGCTGAGCGAAACAACGACCCGAGAGTCCCCTTTGTTTGAAGGCTTCGTCGCTCAAGCGAGTACACCGGTCGCTTGAGCGAGAAAGGACTTTCAACGTCGGTTAGTTCAATGTCCGACGTAGAAATGAGTAAATTCTACGTCGCTTATTGAACCGACCGACGTTGAAAGTCGTTTCTCGCTCAAGCGACCGGTGTACTCGCTTGAGCGAAACAGCACCCGAGAGTCCCCTTTGTTTGAAGGCTTCGTCGCTCAAGCGAGTACACCGGTCGCTTGAGCGAGAAAGGACTTTCAACGTCGGTTAGTTCAATAACCGACGTAGAATTTACTCATTTCTACGTCGGACATTTGCTTAACCGACGTAGATGTCTAACACTTTCAACGTCGGATATTCTGAACCGACGTAGAATCCTTTGACATTCAACGACGCCTGATTCAACGACGTCATTGGAACCGACATTGAAAGCCTTCTACACCCGACGTTGAATGCTCATTCTGCAGTAGTGTAGGTTTCTTATAAAAGTTAAGTTATTAAAGATTAGACGAATCGAATCATATTTTATGAATTTATTAATCGATTTATTTTATAAAATATTAATTGTATTTAAATAAAATAATAATAATATTTTATTAATATATATATATATATATATATTATAAATTAATTTAATAAAATATTTATTTAAATATAAAAATAAATCTCTAATATTTACTTATTTCATAAATTTATTGTTAAAAATAAATTTTTATTTTTTAAATGATTAATTATTAAAAAATAAATTATAATAATACAAAAATAAATTTTCAATTTTTATTTTAAAATTTAATGAATCATTCTTTTTATAATTTATATATTAAATTGTTATATTTGAAATAAAAATTAATTTGATTAATATACTTTATATTTTAAAAATATATTTTATATTTTTATTTAAATATTTTTTATTCATTATTTTGATATAAAAATGTTAATATATTTTTTTAAATTTCAATCATATTAAAATTGATTTGTGTACTTTTATTAATATAATAATAATAATTATTATTATTATTATATTAATTTTTCTACCTGTCTATATGAATTGTAATAATCACCTAGTAAATCGATTTTAAAAGCTCTTTACTACTTTTATTAATATAATAATAATATTTATTATTATATTAATTTTTCTAGCTGTTAAACGTGGTATATGAAATGTCAAATAATCACCTATCAAATCCTAAATCGATTTTAAAAGCCCTTTTTGAAAGGAATATCAATGGATTATGTCTAAGATTTTGTAAAATGCTGTAAACCTAAATGCATAAAATTAACAACTTAGTGTATATTGATTGAATTCATATTATATATTTGTGTTCTCTTCATTTCAAAATATATGATAAATTAAGATATATATTAATTTTTAATATTTTTAATAAATTTATTAATATTTTTTCATTAATTTATTTATTATTTTAATATTTTTTCTCCTATCAAAATACTCCTAAATAATTTGTTATATCTTTTTTATTTATAATAAATTTAGTTAAAAGACATATATAATTAGTAAAAAAATAATTAAAACAATTTTAAACTATACAAACATCCTATATTTATAAAGAAATTTTTTTACCTAGAAGTCATATATTTTGAATAAGAGAAGTATTAGATAACTTAACTGTGATAAAAAGAATAATATTGATTTAATTTGAAAAATAGTTAGATAAATCAAAATAAATAAAAAAATAAAACTAAATAAAAAAATAATGAGAAAAAAAATTATTTAAAAAAATCTCAAATATTCATTAGCATTAATTCACTTTTGTATTTTAACAAATAAAAATTGTGTGACAAGAATTCAATTCATAAACTAAGAATATACATTGAAATAATAATTACAAATTATTTTGTGTATCAGTAAGAATATACATTTAATTAAATCAATTTTGTAAATATATTATATTCATATAAATATTATATTAACATCATTGAATACGCGCACAAAAATGATTAATGTTCTATATTTAATAAATTTGATAAATATAATATGCAATATCACGTTAATAACATTAAATAAGATATACGTTTACACAAAAATATATTGAATAAATGTATTAAATAAGATATTTTATTGAAAACAATGAGAAAAATAACACAATATAGTAGTTTTTATTTGAATAATACATATTTAAAAATTATACATAATTTGAGTAATAATTTATTTAATTAATGATTTAGGATAGAAAATAAATAAATAAATCATTGTATATCTATATATTCCAAATTTATACATTAAATTATTAGTAATTGATTAATTTTTATTTTATAAAATATTAATATGTATTTATTTCACAAGGAAAGTTTTATATTTAATAAACACTAATTACATTTATTAAATAACTTAAATATATTGTAATTAATAAATATCATGGTTATTATCATTTAAGTATTATTTACATGCTGTAATTTATAATTTTTAAAGATATAATATATTTACATAAATATTATACTAGTAGCATTAAATACACACATTAGTTTTATTAATAATTTTTATTAATAAAATTACAAAAATATTCATAATATTTTCTTCGAGAATTTATATACTTTGTAATTTTTTTTCATCATCACAATGTTCTCTCTTATCAAGATGCATAAGTATAATGTGTTTAAGATTTAATAGGTGAGTATGCTATTTAAAAAAAGAGGTAATAATGTAATAATGTTTTATAATAAATAATATATTTATAGAATTAAAAAAAGAGAGTAAAATGCCAGCATAACATAAGAAAGCGAATAAATAACGTTATTTATTCAATTTTATTTGGATGATAAGATTAAAAAGTTACACATATTTAATGTACTTAATTAATAATTTAGGATAGAAACAATAAATAAGTCATTGTATATATTTCAATTTATTTATTAAATTATTAGTAATTAATTGAAATTTATTTAATAATATAATTTCACATGGAAAGTTTATTTTTCATAAAGATAATTTACATTTATGAATTATGTCAAATACATTGTATTTATTAATATATAATAATTAATAATATTAAAATATTATATATATGTTATATTTAATAATTTCTATAAATACAATATATATTCATGTAAAATTACAGTAATAGCATTAAATACACACGCATACAAGTTATTTATATGTTATATATAATATATTTATAGAAATATTAAATAACATTACACACACACACACATATATATATATATATATATATATATATATATATATATATATATATATATAATGTAAGTTTTTTTACAGTGAAATAATAAATATAAATTATTAAATTTTATTTCAATGATTAAGATTAAATATACGCATATTTGGAATAACCATTTGAATACTAAATAACTTTTATAATTTAAACCTTTAAATATTTAGATATGGTATAACTTTTATTTCTCAGTGAATATAGAGATTTTTATATTGTAAACTAATTAAAATTTATATTCGATATGATTGTGAATTATTAAATTAACCAATTGATAGTAGATATATTATCTATCAATGTTTTCAATAATTACATTTATATAATTTCAACCCTCGAACGTTTGATAGCTTTTCTCGATTAGTTTTTAAATATTTCGTAGTTGTTAAAATTAAGAGAGAAAAGCAGTACATTTTTTTATATAAAAGTTTGTTAAGTGTTAATTACTTTTTAAAAATTTATGTATATCTCCATTGTTAATTTGACTTCATTTTTTTTTTCTGAAAAAGAGAAAGAAAATAACAATATAGTTTTGGATGAGAAAGTATCCTTAAATAGTTTAGGATAATGCGTACATAATTATATGAAATATATACACAAAAAGAATCATTAGAAGCACTACATGATCGATGTTACAAGAACAAATTTAACATTGGGAAAACATCAACATATATATAAGCCATGTTTTATTGAAAAAAATAAGGTAAAAATGAAAGTTTTTTAATTGTTTTTTTTTCAATCTTGATGCACATAAACCACAATAAAATGAAATTTTAATAATATTAAAGCTGTGTCGTGTAATTATGAATGAATGTTGTTAATATAATTTTTGCTTTATAGAAATTTGTATAAAGCCAACAGTGTTAAAGATTTCTGACAATATTTTACATATTAGTTGTCAGCATTTTAACAATAATATCAATCTTACATTTATAACATTTTTATTGTCAAGTTATTGTAACATTTATACAAATATTATCAGTTGATTATTTTGTAACATTAAATGAATGATTAGTAAATCGTGAATTACACACTACAATGAACTTTGACATACATAAGATGATAAAAAATTCTTACTAAAATCAACATTCATGATCATAAGAACATCAAATATGTAATTTCTAAACAGTAACGAATATTTCTATAGACGGAGGAAAGAATTTGAAAGACCATGTCATGACCAAAACTAGAGTCATAATTATGATCTCCTTTTTATCATGAACATGAGTGTTCTTCATCACCATAGTAAAGAATCATATTGTCACAAAATATATATTATTAATAGAAAATTGAACACTGCTAAAAAAAAACTGCATAATCGAGGAAAGAAAGAGTTCACAATTGCTGTAAAATGAAAGATGAAACATACTATATTATAAATTTGTGAAATAATTCATAAGATGATAAAAAAACACTTCAAACGAATACATATATATCCTTGACAAGAATCATGTCATGTATCATACCGAGGTAGCATATCTATCTATCATTCAATATCACTTTCAGCGGTGATAGTAAAATTTGCATAAGAGAAGAAAATCAAGAGTTCAAGTTTCCTTCATTGGTAGTGCTAACAAAATTTGTATTGGATTTCCTCAAGATAGGTCCACCATTGTTGGCTCCAAAGGTGTGCTGATGACCCTCTTCAATATTGTTAATGGATTCATCCTGATTTTCAACATTTGTTGCTATGAAAGTTTCATTAATGTTGTCTTGAACATTATGCTTGAAGGGCAACATCATATCACTCTCACTAAACAGGTCTCCAAAACTTTCATAAGATGACCACATGTCACTGTCTCTACTTTCACCAGAAGATCTCTGGTATAAAAGCCTTAAATCACTACTATCACAAAGATCTTCAAAATTATCTTCAGGCAACATCCCAAACCCTAAGTCATTATCATCAATCAGACCATCCAAATTTCCTGAAGGTAACACCATATCAATATCATCCAAATCCAAACATTCAAAATTAACTTGAGGCAACACAGTATCAACATCACTAACATCTGGTTGTAATATTGGTGACAGTCCTGTGTTGCTGGCTATATTATTATCAGAATCACTATTCATTTGACCAGTTTCTTTCGGTGAATCTATGGATGATTGTTGTTGGAAAACTTGTTCATCTGTGTCAGCACAAGAATCAATATCATTCTGTAGAGAAAAAGAAACTGGTGGTGTTGGAGGTTCAGTAGACAATAGTTGCTCAGAAAGATCAAATTTTTTTACTCCAATAAACTTCAATTTCCCCTCCACATAACAAAGCAAACGAGATATATCACTAGCATCAAAATCAGATAAAGATTTACCATCATGTATTTTATGCATGAAATTTGACACGTCTTTCTCATCGTTCTTCTTCTTGAGTTTCACAATATGATTTTCAATCTTTTTATTCATTTGCTGAATATAAAGTTGTGGGGTAACATTTTTTCTTACCCGGTCCGACAATGGAGCATTCTCAAACTTGTCGAGCATCTCTTTAGCAATCTCACGAGATGGCCACACAGTTGGCTCGTTATCCCCTGGGCCATAGATGATTACACATGCATTCAAATCACAAAGGGTGGCAAGATCTTCCACCTTCTTCAATAAAATTTCCCGATTTTTTCTGTAACGAGTTTTTCTTGTCACAAAATTCTCAATCAGTTGCAGTGTCATTTTCTTTCTCCTAGGCATGGTTATGGCTTGGATGGGGTGATGGTTCTCTCCTCTCTATCTCGTACACTTTTCTGACTCTAAACTTGAAGATAACAAATGTATAGATAGGAGAAGTAAAGTAAATGGGAAAAAAGAGAGAACATGAAAGTTTATATAGTGAGGAGATGGTTATTGTCTCTTTATTCATTAATTTCATCTTATACGCGTTTTTTAACTTTTTAATTTAACACAAAAGAGGTGTTAATAAAAATAAAATAAAAAATCTAACTCTATTGTGTTTGTAGAAATTACACATATTGTACAGAAAATTTAAGTGTAATAATTTTAAAAAAGAATAATTAAGAGGGTTAGTGTAGGCCTAAATACGAGAGATAGAAGGTTGGTGTAGAAAAACTGAAGTGGAAAGTACAAAAGGAAATATGGAATTTGAGTTAATTAATAAATAAATACTAATAATTAACTTTTTATGATATTTTTAATATTTTAATTATTTGGTAAGTCATAAAAAAATTCTTTAAATGCAAGATGCTTCCAATTTTGATCAAGATAGATATCAAGTTTCGGTTTTCGGCCAAAAAAAAAGTGTAATTAATAAATCACATAGAAACAATTCAAATGCTACCTATTCCTTTTATAATTATACATTTTTATGAAGTGGTACATATATTTATTATAGGTACTTTTATATCTAGATTCTAGTATTAGTGCACTAAATTATGGTCGTGAAATATCAACTTCATACGTGATTCATTCAAAAAATTGCTCAAAAAGAAGTTTGAACTTACAGTTATAAAAACCTCAGCAAAAGGGAATATAGCCTTAGTGTCCAAAAAAAATAATTGATTTCACTCGAAGAATGAAGGAAAATCGTGTGATTTTTCTTAAACTCTATTTGCACCAGTAATTCTTGATTTTCTTCAAATAAAACTCTGGACATTAGACAAATGACATTTTCACTGAAATTAATTATTCACTCAAATTTATTTGGATTCACTAATTGATACACCTGATCTTTCGGATTATGTGAAGCCCAATGTATAATTTAGTACTTTTATTTAATGGGCCCGATGTTTTTTATTTCTCTTTCTTCCTGTGCTCTCATGGAGAACACCTAGTTTCTTTTTATTACTGTTGAAGGATAATTGAAGTTTGTTTCTTTAATGATTGTACCAACTATTTGTTTTTGTTTTCCTCTATTATTTTATTCTGCCATATTTATATATCTTTTCAGTCATTTTGTTATTTTGGAAAGATTATTTGTTATGTCGACAAGATAACATAGCTAATGGGTATTCATATATAATTCTTTATTTCTTCTAATAATTAGTGCCAAATTAACAGGGTTCAATTCAAACAGTAATTTAATCCAAATATACTAAGCATATATTATTATTATTATTCTTGGCTCGAATAAACTCTATCTAATGGTTGTTGGTAAATTAAATCTTAATAAGAATTTGCTTAAGATTATTTATTACTAAAGAAATAATCAATTAATTTCTCTTACAAATCAAGAAAAGTAAGAAAAATTTGATTGTAGCAGTTTGCTACAAGATTGGTAAAAGAAAAAAGAAAATATATTTGAATTGAATATACAAGAGTGTTACTTCACCTTCTCATTACATAATCATTATAATTACATGACATGATCTTTACATCAAAATATCCTTTTTACTACGGCGAAGTTGATTAGCTTGCCAGTAATATATATATATATATATATATATATATATATCAAACACATGATGCTATGGTGGATAACCAAGTGAATAGTTCTAAACTAAACCCACTATGGCATTATAATTATAAATTTGCTTCTCGTGTGGTTTAACTTCATTGGTATTCATGCATGCAGTTTTTGAAAGATCTTGACTAAAAAATGAAAAGAAGTAAAAAGTTGAAGGTATTCACTTTTCTCTCCTATGGAGGTCGATCGTTAATAAATTCGAGCCTTGCATCTGTCTGACCTCATCCAACTAGCACAAAACCAAGAAACCATGGTTAGGGTCGCCAAGGTTAAACATTTGAGTTGTGTTTTTCATATGATCACTTTTATAGAAAAAGAAAACCAACCAATTAAACCCTAAACCCTTAAAATATTATCCAGGGTAATCCTTTCTTCCCTTCTGACGTCTCAAGATAATCTTTGAGTGTAGCCAAAGGTTGATGCCAGATCTCAACGTAATAAAGTAGAAAATGATTTCACAACCTCATGGTACGTAGTAATCGCACTTCAATTATGAGTTTGGAACCATGAATTGTCAATGATCACATACAGTATCTTCTCCACCGTTGTTTCTAATATCTTCACGACGTCTTGTTATTTGAGGCTAAGAGAGTTTGTGTTTCATCACATCACCAATCTCACAGTGTAATTCGTTTTTCTCTTCTTTTCCAGAACGTTACACAAAAGGTGAAGTACTTGTAACGTAACATTATCCATTTTATTTAAACATGATAGTAGATCCCAACTGTTTTCATGTCTCCATATATATTAAATTTCGATGCTTGATTGAATAAATAATTTGAATGGTGAAAATAATATTATTACTTTTGGAAATAAAAGTTGAAAAGTTATATGTACGGGTAGGGACAAATGAAAGGTAGAAACAAAAAATGTGATGAACATATTATGTATATGGGCACTTGAATGTGCAACGCAAGCCAAAACTTTTAAGAATGGAAGTCTCTTTCTTTCTCCACAGGAGAATCTGTTTTGGATTTTATTTGAACAGAAGAAAGAAAAAAAAAAAAAAAAGTAAGAAAATGATAGTGGAAGAAGTGTGGTAATGGTGATGTTTTAGGAAGTGCAATGTCCCATGTGGAATGCAAATGTAACAGCCAAACCTCTTTTTTCTACGTGCCCTTACATTAGATTTCCACTTGGAACTTGGTTCTGCTTTGCCCTTTCATTTATATATTTTCATTTAATTACACTTTATTTCTGGAATGTAGTGGTAAGTGTATTAATCTAATTAATTTAATAATCATCAAAGTATCCATAGCGTAGTACAAAATAGGCACGTAGATCTGGAAAATTTAGTTTCTTGTGTGTGTTTGATTTGAAGAATTAATTCCTCTAATTACTGAATTGATGAATATTCGTTTTTTGTCGTGGGGCACTTGGGCTAATATGATTGGGTCTCCTACTCTATAATTGGCTTTTCATCATAAGGAAAAGATCTAGTAGATCTTCCAAAATAATGAAAAATATAATAATATATTTCATGCATACAGGGTAAAAGAATGAATCAAACAACAATGTTCTTCGTCCGCTCCAATATTGGATTTCTTGGATCTAACCACAATCTTTTTCGGATTATATGCACATCTCTAATCTATCAACTCTTCTTCTCGTTTCAACTCCCATATTTATTAATATTACAATTTTTTTTTTCATATTTTGTCATAAAAAGTTTAACTTTTTACAAAATTTTATCAACCATTTAATTTTTTAACAAATTAATAACATGTTAAAAAAATAAAACAACATCGTTTTAATGCCATTTTTTGTAAAAATAATTTATTTCCATTACATGTCATCATTCCATTAGAAATTTAATAGATAGGTAAATTTTGTAAAAATTAATAGTAAAATATGTGAAAAAAAATGATAAATATGTAATTAAATAATTTATTTGTTTGAAAACATAATTTTTTATTATAATAACCCGTACACACTAGCGTTTTTTTGTTTTTGTTTGTTAAAAAGTACTATTTTAAACATTCCAAAAGACAAATTACACCAACTGAAAAGGAAAAAACAGCTTTTTGATATCATTGCACGCAACCAGTTCCACGACTGTGATTTAATTTATGCCCATAACACCCCAAAATCCTTTCCAAAAGCTATCCACCTCCAAATAAAACCACAAAAACATGCATCTTAATTTTCTGAGGTTTTTCCTTCCTTTAAAACCTATGATGTAAAAGTATAACTTTTCTTTCAATATCAATAAATAAAACTACGCTTGAAGAAAATCATTAGCAACCGTGTGTCTTAACCATAACCAGCCCACTTTATTTTTAATCCATTTTATGGGACTCATTTTTTCGTAAACCACATCTGATTTACTGATTGAAATCGAAGTTTGCAAAGATGATGTGGTTTCTCTTCAAGCTTTTGTGTGTTTGATTGGATCATCTTATATTTTGATGATGTTACTTTTGTATTGTGTTTTGATGTAATTTGTGTATTTTTTTTATTATTATTGTACATTCATGAGTTCCTGAGATTTCTTTATTGGCTAGTTTGATCTTATCTTCAACTATGTACGATGAGTTGAGTATGATGAGATTTTGTGGTTTTGATATCATATTTTTCTTTGTGTGGAAAATGGTTTCACACATATATAAACCTTCTATGATTATCATTTTCATTGAGTATTCTGCAAATATATCTCCAAATAACACATCAATATAATGGATTACGTACCCTTAAAGTTACGTTTTTTATCTAGAGGATTAAGAAATCGAGCTTGTCATTTGATCTCTCACCTTATAACCATATTCCATGAAAAGATTAACTAATTAAAATCATTTGAATTAATTTGAAACCTTGAACATAAAACCTATGAGGGTGAAGTTTTTTTTGCATGTTTAAGAATGATGATGAATATTTAATGATGAAGATTCATCGAACCAGTTTAAGAAACTAAATATCTACACTTCATTTTTGTACCTGTACTTTTTTCAATACTAATCCTCAAAAATTATTGCATGGCCCACCGTAGTATTGTTTTCACCAACTTGAGTAAATATCTTTCACTGTTACACAAACATGAGACAATGTTGATGATGGGAAGTGATGTTAATGTTTGGTTGCAATTGTTAGCTTATACCAAATCACGTCTCTTAAAAAAAGTATCAAACATGGTGATTCATAAATTTAACACTTAAAATGTGGATTAACATGTACACAAGAAAAGCACACCTGGCCTATGAAGAAGGGATCGATGAATAATGCAAATGTGGGACAAAAGCTCAAAGAATAAGCCTAACTATGACATCTCATAGAA